GCAGAATAAATTAATATTAGCAAAGGAGCTAGGGAACATTTGCTTCCACTGAAAACAGGAAAGGCTCAAGACAAGCTAGATTCCTGCTGTAAATTTTTACGTACCACCTTCTACTGGAACTGGCAAAAGAACATCACATATCATTCATAAATCATTCATTTTTTATTCTGTGCCTGTAATTTGAATAAGCACCTATATGTCAATGAAACAATACAATCAAATGGGATATAAAAATGTTTTAACCTATTTGCTAAGATAAATGAATAAAATGTATATTTTTATATATCTTCAACAACCTAAAAATCCCATTAGAGTGTATTGTTTCCTTGATGTATATGAGGCATGTGGTACTTTTGAAATGACTAGGGATAGGCGGTCCCCTATATAAAGATGAGAAAAAGTACTGTGACTGCAGGAGGGAAAACTTAAACTGTAAAGGCCTTCAATGCCGATGATCATTTTTTTTCTGCACCGAGGTTGGAACTGTCAGTGGTGCACAGAATATTAGCTGTGAAATACTACGACGCTGTGATCTCCCTGTCACCAGAGACCAGAGGTTACAATCACAGAGGTAATGACATTATTACAAAGGGCAGCAATGTGCCATTTCATTTTTAAGATATGGAGAGCTACTAATTGCTAAATTTACACTAATACCATAATAAAATGATTTTCCTAAATTCATTTTGGCTTTCAAATGTTATTTGTTAATAAATTAAAAACATAAAAATAACTATTTTATGTAACCACAACTATGATTTATGTTGCCCGAGCCCCATAAAGTGTATCAAAAGCTAAAAACAACAATTTTATTAATTGCAGCTTATTTATTTTCACCTGGTGATTCAGCCAGTAACACATTTCCTGTCTTAGAGTGGCTCCACTTAATGCAGGAGCAACAGAGCCACCCATGGACAGCAGCAATGTCATCCTGTAGGGAGGGTAGTATTTTGATGGACTTGAATTAAATTTGAACTCCAGCTAACACTTAGTTACGCGTTTACAACAACAGTTGTTTTTCTTTCTTTTTGGGATAAAGGTTTTACATAAATGCTGACCATTGTAAGCACCCCTGTCAATGATAAAGTGACACTAAACTCAGGAGTTAAATCTTAAAAATACCTTCAAGCACCTTAACAATTAACAAAAAGCTTATTTGTGTATCACTTGGCTGTAGATCCTCAAATCATCTCTGAATTCATGCTGACATTGTCCTTCCTTCTGGAGGGTGACTACTTTCATTCTCCATGGTCCCTGTGTATTTTGTAAAATAGCCACCGCTCCAAGCTCACTCCTGTTATAGTTTGCACTGAGATTGTAGTCCATCATAGGAGTGAGCTTGGAGCAGTGGCTACTTTACAACACACACAGGGACCATGGGAAACCAAAGTAGCCCCCCTCCAGAAAAAAGGACAGTGTCAGCACCAATTCAGAGATGATTTGAGGATCTACAGCCGAGTGGTACACAAATAAGATACATTTTTGTTAATAGTTAAGGTACTTGAATGCATTTTTAAGATTTAACTCCTGAGTTTAGTGTCACTTGAAATGGTTTGTCTCAACCCTCTATCTGACACTTTTGCTGCACAGATTGGTCTGTTAAAGAAAGATGAAAAAATAACAGACCTACTAGCCAGATCACCTGGTGAAAATAAAGGAGAAAACCATAGGAAAGAAATCTAATGCAGCCACCACATTTATGGATTGTTAAACTGCAATATATTATTTTTGCTTTTGGTGAATGTACGCTTTAAAGTTAATGTTTTCCTAGATTTGGGTAGAGTGAAGAAGACAATGGACACGGTCATGATTTATTGCTGTGGGTGTCTCCTCTGGTAATATATTTTCCCTATTTCTTATCTTGCCGACAGAACCGGAAGTGAGAGTCAATTGAATTCTCATCTTTGACAGGTGCTACTGGACAAGTGTCCCCACTGGGAAATTCCCTCTTACCTCTTGGCGTGGTGACAACTGTAAAATTTAAAAAAATTACATTCCCATTCACTTTCTATCCAAGTAACAATGGTCACCAGGGTAGGAACTGAGAACCAATCTCTCAAACAAAGACACAGCTATAAGAACCTGCCAAATCTGATTCTAACCCTTGCCCTCTCTATTCAAAACTAGACAAGGTTTGGGATAATCCAGAAAACTCTCTTTATGTAAAAATATGTATTCCTAATGCAATGCTGATGTTATAACAGGAGAGTATATCCTGAAACTTTACAACTCCTTTAAGAACTCTAAATCTTCCCCCCACTGTTTTCCCAATTGTAGCCCTAAAGCTGGTCAAAGGACAGAAGGACAGCAGTACAGTCATACATGTCTCATAAGGGCTGTGCTCATAAACATGAACGCTCAGCTGCACACTCATACTTATGTCTATGAAGACGGGAGGGGGAATACAGGATAGATACATATAGTTTATCTCAGAAGCTGCCCAAATGATCTGATTACTGAGAGCAATTAGATAGCAATCATATACTGCTACCATGCACAGGACATTGTCACCCAATCCATATAACAAATGCCAAATTGGACAGCTGACATCTTATTCCTATAGCCATTTTAAGTTGTATAAAGAGTATGATAATACCTAAAGCAAATGTGCTTGTCTGGGAAGATGTCTTGATAAGGACGGAGTTATTTTATTCTAGACTACAAGTAATAAAAAGAAATTCTGAGCATAAGTGAACTTTACATTATGTTAATAAGTAAGTAACGCCAAGGAAGACATTTATATAGTAGTGGTATGGATGCTTTAAAAAAAGATATAGCTTGCATTTATAAAGCACAACAATTGTGCTAAACATTGTACTGGCTTTGGGAATCCAAAGCCAGCGAAGCACTATTCTACTGGCTGGAAGAGCTGAAGAAAACTGGAAAGCCATGTGATCAGCTCCCCTCCAATCACAGAGCTCTTTCTGCTGTGCTGAGCAGGATCCACATCGTGACCTGCATTTTTTGAATGGGCTGTAAAATTCAGGCAGTGGTATGGACTAACATTTGAGATATATAGCAGAGAGTTGAAATGGATATACACTCTTCTTTATAAACGTTACCCTTTTTGTTGATACATGAAAACCAATAACATATTCTGTTTGTACCCTGTAAAACTGTGTTGAGAATTGACTTCTGGATGTATTATATAAAGGTTGTTGGACAGCAAATAAAATACAAATATAACATTTTGAACATGATTAGACAAATATTCAACCAACATCCAGGGCAAGAATAATTTAAAGGTTTCATCCACGCAATACTGAATAATTGGTATATAATACCATTGCCAGCTTCCAATAACTGCCTATATGCACTTCCTTTGTGCTTGCAAAAATGTTATAGTCAAAGTAACCACACACTATATAAAGTAGAATACAGTTAAAAGGTTAGGACATGACAACAACCCAATAATTATATGAGTGTTCATCCCAACATAGTACAGTTCTGCTTTAACCATTCAAAGTCTGTAGGGCCTATTTAGTTAAGCCTCTATTATTCTTACAGCCCTTTTTAATACCTGATGGAGGAACTTCCTGTCAAATGCAAGCATAAAATTCCAACGCCCATTGACACAGGATCTTTAGATAACCTAAAGCAACTTTGTAACATTAAATAAAAATAATAAAAATTGTCCCCCTGTAAGGAAGAGATGTACTACTTACCTCTCCTGCTGCCTGAGCTGCCAATTACTGCTTTATTCCTGAGAAAATGTCCTTTGAAAATTCTTTAGAAACTGACTCCTGGAAGATGATCCTGGATGATCTCCTGGACTTGGAGCACACTGTGTTCCTCCCGCCAACCCCTATGTTACTACTGTGTCCTGTAGTGATGTAGGCGTTAGTGAAAGGAACAACAATGTGGCAGAGCACCAGGAGATTGATACCCCCCAGAAGTGTTGGTTTCTTAAGAACTTTCCTGGCAAAATAGTGAGTTTTGGCAGTGCGGACAGCAGGAGGGGATGAGTAGTACAATTCTTTACTGAGGTAAACCTTTCAACGTTTTTATTTTAGTAGCAGAGTTACTTTGCTGTCATACAGTTACCATTTTTCCTACATAGCATACTCAGTGTACTGACTGCTTGCTATCTAACAGTAAACTGAATTGTTAGTAACTGATTGGTTACTATCAACCTGTGCACTTCCCACTACCCTACCAATAAGAGTGCTAGTCCACACTTTTCCACAGATTTTAGAGGTCATTCAGGCATGTAGGCACGATCCGACAGCCCTAAGATTGAGGTCTCTATAGAATATTGCACAGTGCTTTATATGTCTGTCTTGGCAGAAAATGCATATTTATGTTAATGGTAAAGGGGGCAAGAGGAAGAAGGATGTTCCTGGCTCCATGTAGTTTTTCACCCTGAATGGTCATCTTCTCTGAAAAGGCATGGATAGTGGGCATCTACAAGAATGATAGGTGTGGAATCAACCCTTCCAATAAAAAATGGCTGGATGGGGTGAGCCCTACACTACATCTATGCCTAGCCTACCACACTAAGACAGGTCTACTTTCATTTCCCAATTAATATGCAACAACAATTTTGGTAATACATTTAGGAAGAGAATCAGAGTGCTGTGACATTGAAATCCTCCGAGCCACTACAATGCACAGTGACATTCCATAAATCCAGACATCACAAGTAGCCATGCAATTTACAATTCAGACACTGAAATAGCTGAATATCTTTATGGCTATTTGTTGTTTAACAAAATCTATCTGTCTGACTGTCCTCAATAGTAATTGTGATTCTTATCATCCCTACTCTTTATGAGACCTGCATTACCTGATGAAATATGAGCAATAGCTGTATGCATTATTTATTCCCTTATGAAAGGCGCTCTTGAATCTAATCTGAGAAGATGATATATGGATGTCGCCTCTTTGTTTCACACTGAACATTCATGTTTATGTGCTCTTTCTGATGAATTTTTGTGTCCTCGTAACAACTGGTAGATAAAACAACAAACATTTTATAGAGGATAAATCCGATAACTCACCCAGATTTGCAGTTTAATTCTTTTTTCATTTTTGAAGACAGTCTTAACCTTGAAATCAATCCCAACCGTGCTCACAAATGCAGATGTGAACGAGTCATCAGCATAGCGAAACAAGAATGATGTTTTGCCGACGCTGCTGTTTCCGATAATGAGCAGCTTGAACATGTAATCAAAGTTCTGATCAGAAGACTCTTTCTGTCCAAATCTGGAATCCTGTACAGAGGCCATCTGGAAGAGACAGAGGCACATACATTAGTTATAGCATTCTATTATACACTGATCATTGGATGTATATGGACACAAGTTTACAGTTGTCTTCATACATGTGTTTAGAACTTTGTCACAGATAGTACAAAAGGCGGTATTAGTCAAGGACCCAAGTGTTGGTTGATCCTGGATCCATAGCATGACTCTGAATTACCTCACTATCCACAACTTCACCTCTGATATCCCTCTGCATTCATCTTTTCCATACCTCCATCTGCATCCAACACCTCCACCCCTACAAACCCCTGCACCTTTAATCATGTGTTTAAAACCTAACCATAAATATTATAAAATGATGTGTAGATTGAGAATCCTGGGCTCGATGCAAAACCCTACAACCCAATAACCTCACCTCTGATATACCTCTGCATTCATCTCTTCCATGTCTCCATCTGCATCCAACACCTCCACCTCCCTACAAACCCCTGCACCTTTATACATGTGTTTAGAACATTACAATAAGTATCATGAAAGGATGTGTACATTGAGATTCCAGGACACATTTCCACAACCCTATATTACCCCACCATCCAACAACCCCACCTCTGATTTCACTCTGCATTTATCTCTCGACTACGTTCCCTACATCAAACATCACTTTAGAACACCCTTTCACCTTCTCAGGGGATCAAATATCCCCACCCCAATAAACCCTATTCACCCTCCTTAAGTCAGATTGCAGCAGGAATTTCAGCTCTCACTATGTGCAAACCACAGTGAATTATTGAAGGTATGTGGTAAACAGGGATCAGTGAATTAGAGAGTTTTCATTCGCCTGAAATTTCAGAAAAACTGGTCATTTTGGTATCTATCTTTTTGCTCTCTTGGGCCTCTGGTAAGTTGGATGTCTGTGTGGGACTGAGGGTTAGGCCAGGCAATTAAGCGAGATTATAATAATTATCACAGTTCATCTCAAATGTTGCTCAAATATTGATTTTTTTGTTTTTCTGTTATAATGGATATCTATGTGGTTTATAAAATTAACAGAGTTGTGCTCTTGTCCATTGCCACATGACTGGCTTCCGAATCATTTCTGGGCAAGGCCCTCTTTGAATAGTTCCATTATGAACCTTATTTAACTGACTACACAGCCATCACTGTTCAACTTTGTTTAAGATTGCTTAAGGGCTTGTGTGGGTGGCATCAGTTTGAGACATGGGCTGCCACTCATGATCATTTTCATAACTGATTCGCTGGCTGATTATTTTTCCGATTAATCGCTAAATCAAATATAAAAAATGTAATAAATACCATCCTTAATTTAAAATAAAATACACAAAAGCAGTGTTACAAAAATGTTTACTTCAGAATAAAACTGTATGCACAATTTTTTGCAATCGCATCACATTGGAACGTACGGTATTGTGGTACTCTGCGTTCCAGTGCGGGCGATCACACTGTGGGTGGGAGGCACGTTTGAGGTGCCATTGAAATGAATGGCACTACAACGCACCTCCCGCAGCAGAATTTGTCAGACCGAAACCGAAAATGACTTTTCTTCCAACCTTTTATAATTTTTTTAAATAATTGTATTGTAAGCACATGGTGCTTGAATAGCTTCAGTCAGGGAATGACGGCTGCCAGTGGAAAGATTCCGCAGGCAGCAGCTGAATGTAAATGCAGCAGGTAGTGGGCTGGTGCAATAGCTAGCCTGCTATTGGCCATTTCAAATTGCTATAGCCAATAGCAGACTGGCTACTGCATCCGCCCACTGATTTCTTTGTCCTCCTCTCAGCATGGATAGACTTGTATGGGAATGCAAACCCCGTTAAAAAAAACAAAGCCTGTCAACACAAGCCCTAAGTCTGTTATTGTCATTTAGCTTAGTCTAAAGGCTGATGTGGAAAACAAAAGGGAACAGAGCGCCACCTTCCGTATGTAAAATCGTTTATTAGGATGAATAAAACAAGGGATAAATGTACTCACTCACGTTTTCATCAGGCTTTAGCAACAAACAAGAGGCCACACTGTCTGTTAACCCACATGGTATCACCCCGACTATGCAACACGGTACCCTCCGGTCACAGCACCGTCCACCGGCCGCAGTCAGCCAAGATTGACGCGTTTCAGGGGCAAGCCCCCTTCATCAGAATCATGATGATTCATGAATCTGAATCAAGCCCCCTTCATCATGATGATTCACGATGAAGGGGGCTTGCCCCTGAAACGCGTCAATCTTGGCTGACTGCGGCCGGTGGACAGTGCTGTGACCGGAGGCTACCGTGTTGCATAGTCGGGGTGATACCATGTGGGTTAACAGACAGTGTGGCCTCTTGTTTGTTGTTGAAGCCTGATGAAAATGTTTGTGTGTGAGTACATTTATCCCTTGTTTTTATTTATCCTAATAAACTATTTTACACACGGAGGTGGCGCTCTGTTCCCTTTTGTTTTCTATGTTCATGGTGGGAGCCCGAGAGCTTTGGATGACCAGCCACTCAAGTCTGTGTGAAAAATGTAATTAACTGTTGAAAACTTTGAATATGCAACACCAAGTGGATTGTTCAGCTGGCAGCCATTAGCGCCAAGAGTTAAAGAAAACCTAAAGGCTGATGTAGTCTAAATCTAAATACTAGCCAGAAGATCAATATTGTCTTATGCCAAAGAGATGTATTGTTCTTATTACTTTTCATTCTTTCTTATTTTGGAAATGCATGCAGCTCCATTTTCATTATTGTAGGCTGTTTATCTTGTATAGTCTTGTAAGGTTCCTGTTCTCTTTCAAAGAGTCTGTTGCGCACTGCTGCCCAGTATTTTTTCATTTATTGTGAGAATATTTTCATCAGCCTTTGCAGCCAAGCCAACCCAGCCAAGTTGCCATTGCTGTCAGCAGTATGCTGTCAGCAAATGTTCCCCTTCCACAATCCTCAGTTGAGGTGGATGTCAGAGGAGAAATGGTGTGAAAGTACTAATGAATTAATGGATTTTGCCCATGCAGGTAACACTTTATTGCATGCCCCCACAGCTGCTTATGCTTACCTTCCCTTCACACCCCTTTATTCTATTTGTCCAGGAAAATGACAGCTATGGGGGAGTGACAGAGGACAAAAGACTAATTTGGCAGTAGGAAGTAGACACGTGCACTGCCAAAAAATTTGTTTAGTTTTGTTTCGTTTTAAATTCGGATTTGTGTTATTTCGTTTTTCGGGATTCGGGTGTGAAAGTCAATTCGGATTCGGAATTCGGACGAAATTCCTTAGCGGTAGTTCGTTCGAACGTTCGTTTTCGTTTCTTATTCGTTTCGTTCATTTGTTTGCAGCAAAGTGACATTTGAGGGGGAAAAATGTTTTTCTCCTTCTCTAATGTCACTTTGCTCCAACGAACGGAACTAATAAGAAACGAAACGAACGTTCGAACGAACTACCGCTACCGAATTTCGGAAACAGAAATTCGGATTCGTTATATCTATGATTCGGAATTCGGATACATCCGAATGTCCGAAAATTCGTCCGAATTTCGATTCGGAACGAAACGAATCACACATGTCTAGTAGGAAGTCTTAATTGGTTGAAACAAAGTCGCATGACCGCCATCCTTGCCTAGGAAGAATGACCTTCCCCTAATCCCGCAGTCTCCTGGGATATTCCCATTATATATATTCCAGAAATCAACAGGAGCAGGGACACACAGTATGCCTGATGCAAGTCATGGGGGGACTGAGTAGGGCCAAAAGAGGGGGTACAGGTCCGGAGCAGTGGCTTGCAGCAGGACAAAACTGGATTCGCTGGGCAGGATAGTATGTTAATAAGGAGTCTTCTAACTCTTCCCAACTATCCAAAATGAAAAGACTTTAAATACATTTTAAGGGGCCGATTTAAAAAAACATTTGTTGTGCAATCCAACTAACACAGATGTTTTCTGTGCACAGATAAGCTAATTCTGACATATACACGTAATGCAAACATTCAATTTTTTGACATGCAACCCTAAACGAACGCTCGTATGAAGAACATTCATTTTGGCAACAATCATACCTGTCAGGGAAACCCAGCAAGCAGTCATACAACTGGTACTGTGACAGCCATTTCGCATGCGCGTGTGAGACGGTTTGGAGCTATTAATGCTCGTAATCGTGCGCCTGCGCGCGGACGCTGATGTGCGTGTTCACGCGCAACGATGCTAACGCAGATTGCCGTGCACGTGCTCACGTCTAATCATGGCGCCAAAAGCCCTATTTAAACTTGCAGCCTGCATGCAACTTAGTGCTGAGAGTTCTTCAGCTAGTGTCTAGCTTTGATTCCTGATTGTTTCTGTATCTGACCCGTCTTGATCCTCTGCTGCTCTCCGCCTGCTCCGACCTCGGCCTGTTACACTACTGAGCCTCTTGTCTGCTGATTCAGTACCACTTATCCTGCACGGCTTGTCCTGACTCAGTTTCTGTCTTCTGATTCTGTATTGCACAGCTTGCCAGTTATTGACCCGGCTCGGCTCTGACTCTGCTTATCTAAATTTCTGATATCCTGCATGCTTCGGGCTGACTACCTGCCTGGTGCTTCACTCCGGTGTCTTCAGCATCTTTACCCAGTGGCACCCGTGCCTCACGAAGTCCGTTCGGCCCTGTTCCACTCTCAGGGGCGCTCAGACCCGTGCTGCAAGGGAAGGTCCTTCTGGTCATCTCAGACTCACATCAGGTACGTGACAATACAACAGTAACATTCACATATCCACATAATACAACCAGAACAGGGGTATTATGTGCGCATTCGTTTCCCCCCTATATTATAAGAAAAGGGAGGGGGAAGGAAGTTAGAAGTGATTACATTTAATAGCTTTTCATTTTAAATCAATGTATTGTGTTGATATGTAACTTGAGTGCTTCTTTAAAGGAGAATTATGAGGCGAGTGATTTTCCCTCAGCCTCACAATCTGAGCCGACGTGTGACCATGAAACTGTCACAGGTCGGCTCAGTAGATCGGGAAGTGAGTGAACACGTACCTTTGCTCGCTCACTTCCCGATGTAGCT